AGAATGGGAAAGACTAGAGATCTCTCCAAAAACATTCCAAGCAAAAAGGGCACAATAAAGGACAGAAATGATATGGACCTAACAGAAGCAGCAGATATTAAGAAGAGGTGACAAGAATACACAGAACTATATAAAAAAGATCTTAACAACCCAATTGACCATGGTAGTGTGTTCACTCACCTAGAGCCAGACATCCTGGAGTACAAAGTCATGTGGGCCTTAGGAAGTATCACTGCAAACAAAGCTAGTGGAGGTGATGGAATTCACGTTGAGCTATTCCAAATCCTAAAATATGATATGCCAGCAAATTTGGAAAACTCAGAGTGGCCACAGGACTGGAAAAGGTCAGTTTTCATTCCAATCTCAAAGAAAGGCAATGCCAAAGAATGTTCAAACTACCGCACAATAGTATTCATCTCACACTAGCCAAGTAATGCTCAAAATTCTCCAAGTTAGGCTTCAATAGTATGTGAACTAAGAACTTCCAGATAGTCAAGCTGGATTTAGAAAAGGCAGAGGAACCAGAGATCAAATTGCCAATATCCGTTGGATCAAAGAAAAATCAAGAGAGTTCCAGAAAAATATCTACTTCTGCTTTGTTGACTACACCAAAGCCTTTGACTGTGTTGTTTAGTGGCTAAGTCATCTCCGACTCTAGCAACCCCATGGACTATTTCCTGCCAGGCTCCTCTGTACATGAGATTCTCCAGGCAAGAATACTGGAATGGGTTGCCATTTCCTTCTCCAGGTTTGACTGTGTGGATCACAACAAACTGGAAAATTCTTCAAGAGATGGGAACATCAGGCCTCCTGACCTGCCTCTTGAGAAATCTGTATGCAGGTCAAGAAGCAACAGTTAGAACTGGACATGGAACAATGGACTGGTTCCAAATTGGAAAATGAGTAAGTATGTCAAGGCTGTATATTGTCACTCTGCTTGTTTAACTTATATGCAGAGTACATCATGTAAAATGCTGGATGAAGCCCAAGCTGGAAAAAGATTGTCAGGAGAAATATCAATAACTTCAGATATGCAGATGACACCACCCTTATGGCAGAAAGTGAAAAGGAACTGAAGAGCCTCTTGATGAAAGTAAAAGAGAAGAGTGAAAACGCTGGCTTAAAACTCAACATTCTAAAAACAAAGATCATGGCATCCAGTCCCATCCCTTCATGGCAAATAGATGAGAAACAATGGAAACAGTGAGAGACTTTCTTTTCCTAGGCTCCAAAAAAACTGCAGATGGTAACTGCAGCCATGAAATTAAAAGACGCTTGTTCCTCAGAAGAAAAGCCATGACAAACCTAGACAGCATATTAAAAAGCAGAGATATCACTTTGCTGACAAATGTCCCTCTAGTCAAAGCTATGGTTTTTCCAGTAGTCATGTATGGATGTGAGAGTTGGACCATAAAGAAAGCTGAGCACTGAAGAACTGATGCTTTTGAACTGTGGTGTTGGAGAAGACTCTTGAGAGTCCCTTGGACTGCAAGGAAATCCAAGCAGTCAATCCTAAAGGAAATCAGTCCTGAATACTCATTGGAAGGACTGATGCTGAAGGCTAAAGCTCCAATACTTTGGCCACCTGATGCAAAACTGACTCATTGGAAAAGACCCTTATGCTGGGAAAGATTGAAGGCAGGAAGAGAAGGGGATGACAGAGGATGAGATGGTTCGATGGCATCACCAACTGGATGGACATGAGTTTGAACAAGCTCCCAGAGTTGGTGATGGACAGGGAAGCCTGGTGTGCTGCAGTCCATGGGGTCGCAAAGAGTCGGATACGACTGAGCAATTGAACTGAACTGAACTGAATTTACAAATATTATCCATCCTTCCTTCACTTCCTTGTACCTTCCTTCAGCATCCCAACCACTCACCAAGTCCCAGAAAATTTCACCAAACCCTCTAATGTGTTCTCCACTCCCTCCTCCCTACACACAGGAAGTAGAGAGAAAATTGAGACTGGGGGGTGGGGGCGCACAAGGGACAGTCAGAGTTGGCTAAGAGTTAATCTCTTTATCTTCCTATCTTTGCGGAGACTCAGCCAAGAGGCAACCCCTTCAGCCTGCTCTCTGGACCATCTAAACACTGGGAAGACAGCTGCTGCAGCTGCACACCAAAGTCTGGGGTGGCGGCTGACTCTTCTCTCCCCAACTCTGCCTTAGGGAAAACTGCTTTTCAAGTTTTTATGAAGACTGGAAGGACTGTTGCTGAAGCTCACTACTTTGGCCACCTAATGTGAAGTCGATTCATTGGAAAAGACCGTAATGATGGGAAAGATTAAAGACCAAAGGAGAAAGGGGCAGCAGAGAATAAGATAGATAGATAGCATCACTGACTCAATGGACATGAATCTGAGCAAGCTCAAGGAAAAAGTGGAGGACAGAGGAGCCTGGAGTGCGGCAGTCCATGAGATCTCGAAGAGTCAGACATGACTTAGTGACTTAATAACAATGCAAATGCAGCTGAATATCCATCCAGATATTCCCTGTGAGGGTTTTTTCCTCTCCAACCAAATATGTGGATTCTTTTCCAACACTATTTCTCCAACTCTCCAAAACCCACTGACTGCTCTACAATTCAATACCCCAAGTTAGCAGCAGTTAACTTCTGTCCAACTTGGCTACAAATTCAAGAGTTCCCACAAACGCCTCTCAGATTTGATAATTTGGTAGCATGACTCGCAGCACTTGGGAATGCACTTTACTTACCAGTTTGTTGTAAAGATTATGACTCAGAAAGAGATGTGTAGGGTAAGGTACGTAAGGTACGGGAGAGGGGAGGTGGAGGTGCCATGCCCCCTCTGTGTATGCCACTCTGCCAGCAACTCCATGTCTTCACCAACCCAGAAGCTCCCTGAACCCCATCGTTTCGGGTTCTTAATGGAGGGTTCATTATATAGGCGTGATTGATTACACTCTTGGCTCTTTGTGATTAAATCCGTCTCCAGCCTCTCTCCCTTCTATGGAAGCTGGGAGATGGGGCTGAAAGTTCCAAATGCCTAATCAAGGCTTGGTCTTTCTGGTGACAAGTGGCTCCTATCACCCTCGCACGCATTCTAAGTTGCTTCAGTCACCCTATGGATCATAGCCCACCAGTCTCCTTGTCCCTGGAATTCTCCAGGCAAGAATCCCGGAGTGGGTTGCCATTTTCTTCTCCAGAGGATCTTCCTGATCCAGGGATCAAACCCACGTCTTTTAGATCTCCTATATTGGCAGGTGCATTCTTTACCACTAGTCCCACCTGGGAAGCCCCCTATCACCCTTATCACTGAGGAAATAACAAGAGTTTTAAGAGCTCTGCATCAGGAACTGGGGACAAAAAACAAATATCTTTCTTATTATACTACCCTGTTATGTTTATCCATTCTGCAAAAAAAAAAAAAAAAAAATTCTAGAAACGTCTCCTTATAGTGTTAGCCTTTCTGGCTATTTCTGGCTCTCCTTCTCTGTATACTGGCTATAACCCCATAAGAGACTGACTAGAAACTTCCTTTTAGTTCTTCATTAGGTTTTTCAACACATAACTACTTCCCCTGTGACAGACTTCTTTATCTGTCCCCTCCAAACAAACCATTCATGGGAACAAGCATTCTCAGAGCACTGGAGTTGAATGCCCACACTAGCTCTCTTCCTTCCAGAAGAATCTTAGGAAGTCAGTTGTAAGGGTGAACTTAAATGGCCAAGGAATTCACTCCAGGGCCCCCTTTCATGGGCCACCTCCTTTGGCCTCTGGGTCACTGAGTTCCACAGAGGAGAACTGAGCCTTTCCAGTGTCCAGGGAGGCCTGTTGGCTCTTGTTCAGCTCTCCACTGGGAAACTCTCAGAGCTGGCTACCCAGCCTCTGGAATGGACGACCAGGAACTTCACCAGTTAAGATGGGATGGGATGGCTGGAGGACCAGTTTGACTGAAGGCCTCTTGCCTTCTGCTCCCGCTGGTTTCCCTCCCTGCACATGCTGAACAAAGACAAAAACAAAAACACAACAAAACCCAGGGAAACCAAATATTTTAAAATACTCTTATCAAGAGATCTTCCTTCTGAGATAGAAATCTCACTTCCTCATCGTCGGGCTCTGCTCATTTGTGGCCCCAGAACGTCTCTGCCGGTGAGGGCCTCAAGCCCACACTGGTTGATCTGGAATCCGGGTTTAGGTCCCAGCATGTGGCAATGTGCTCCACTCTGATGACACTTTTCGCTTCTAATAATAGAGCCGATGAAGTAATATTGCAATTGATGTTCCCGGGGATTTGATTGGATAAGTGCATAAGCCCTGGAGGGGGAAGGGGGTTGTATGGACGGATCACATTAGTATTCCCATCCTATCGATGCGCCGGGCCGCGAACCACGTCAGCCGGACTGATTCCCTGCGTCTGCCAGTCCCGCCACGGATTCATTTGGGATCCTCAAACAGGCGAGCCCCGTGGAGACGAGGGATCAAGACCGCGGATTAGAACCAATTGCCTGCCTCGGGGACAGCCAGCCCTTCCAGGCCTGGTGACTGGGGAGGGAGGGGAGGGCCGCCGCCGTGGGAAGACACCCGAAGCTAGAGCGACACTCTCTCCTCTGCACCCCCACCCCCTGCCCCCCTCCACCTGGCAGCGCAGGCTTTTGAAAACTGTCCATCTGAATGGAAACTCGGAACCGCCGGGCGGCGCGTTCCTTCTCGCCCAGCCTTGCGATCCATGCCGAGCGGAAAGCGGTGCGAGCCCGCGCCAGCGCCCAGCTCCCGGGACAGGGCCGGCAGTGTTGCTGAGCTGAACTTGACCGAGCCCCTTTCTCGCTGCTAGTGGGAGCGATGCTGCACGGCACAGCCAGCGCTTCCCCGGCTCTCCTTCAAGCTGAAGGTTACCCACCCGCGCAGCCAGCCCCAATCCTGTGAGCGCCGCGCCTCGGGTCCCAGCTCCGGCTGCTCGGCGGCGGCTCGCAGGGCAACGACCGGGCCGCCCGCGCCGGGGCGCACTGCACCAGCGGCTTCGGCTTGGTGGATGTGTATGCATGAGTTCTGCACCGAATGGGCGCAAAAAGCGCCCCAGCCGGTCCACCCGCTCCTCAATCTTCCAGATCAGCAAGCCCCCGCTGCAGAGCGGGGACTGGGAGCGCAGGGGCAGCGGCTCCGAGAGCGCCCACAAAAGCCAACGAGCCCTGGACGACTGCAAGATGGTAGGTGGAAAATGCGTCTCCTTTTTTTCCTTTCTTTTTTTTCTTTTCCCTTTGGAGATGTGGGGGAATCGCGTCCGTTCATCGTTCGCCTAAGTGCCAGCCACTCCGCCACCCTCATCTCCTCCATGCCGATCACGTGCACATGCACTATTTTTAAATCTGCAGTCCCCCAGATTCGGGGTGACACCTGGTCGTCATGGACCCGCCAAGAAGTGCCACGGAGAGAGTCTTGGGGGCAGCGGTTGTAGGTCATCCTTCTAACCCCTCCGAGAATGGCAGATACGAAAGACTCTGTGAACTGGCTGGCTCACCAGGGAGGGAGGGGTTAGGAAGGTAAGAGTGCTGAATTGTGGGGAGACAGGAGCAAACAGACCCAAACAGGACGCACAGGGCGCTGCGGTGGGGACGAAGGTTCCAGCGCAGAGGCTGTGGCGGGTCTTCCTGTCCGACACCAGAGCCCGAACTGTTCGTTCAGTGGTCTGGCAGGAAGTGAACGGATTGCCCAATAAACCCACCTTTGGCCTTTTGAAATCCGCAGGCCAATTCAAATTCACATCCCGGCTGTAGCAGAGGGGAACACTGTAGCGAGAGTTGCCAGCATCACTCTCCGGTGACCTGGGAGTGGCATGGTAGCTCTCCAAATATCCTCTCGATCGTCAGAAACTTGAGTCTGAACGGATGGGAACAAGTAGGTCTGGAAATAGAACTTCCATGGCCAGACTTAGGGATGAAAAATAAACACTTGCCTTGGACAAAGAGAACTTAACAATCTTTGTGTCCCAATCTTTAAACACTCTGTAGGCTCTTTAGCAGGAGATTTAAGGTGGCTCAGGGGTCAGTGAAAGCCTCTGTTTAGGTAGGAAAAAATAGCAAACTTTTTGGTTATAAATGTCTTATGAAAGAAACTTGCTTCTTTTCCAGCTTGTGCAAGAGTTCAACACGCAAGTGGCCCTGTACCGAGAATTGGTCATTTCCATTGGGGACGTCTCGGTCAGCTGCCCCTCTCTCCGGGCGGAAATGCACAAGACAAGAACCAAAGGCTGTGAAATGGCCCGCCAGGCACACCAAAAACTTGCTGCCATCTCGGGGTAGGAGCCTCTTGGTGTTATTTGGTAATTCATGTATATGAAGTGTGAATCCTGGCACACAGTGGATATTTAGAGTGATCAAAGCCTCAGAGATGATCGCTGCAAATGTGAGGTTTTAATCAATTACCCTGAGATCAGGATTGTCTAGAGAGCGATGAACAAACTATAGGCCAAATTATAATCCAAAAGTTGTGTGATTTTTGTTTATATGTTGAATATTTGGGTCATTAGGTGTCTTTTTTTTTTTTTTTTCAAAATTAACTTTTAAGTATGCTGGCCACATTTTGGAATTTGAGGCTTAAGATGTTTTTGCACGAAAGTGAAGTTAAATCATCATGCCTCAAGATTATTTTGTCATCTGCTACTAAACATGTACTGCACAAAAATCTTTGCTAAATCCCAGATTTACTAATCTATTTATACCATGAGTCAAATTCTTATACCATTTAAATTAAGATCCCTAAAATAAAGTCTTGGATATAAATTACTCTCTTCACTGTAGTGTATGAAAGGGAAGTTTGAACTGGAGGAAAACTTTTTCAAGATTGGGGAAATTCACAAATTTAACTAAATTTAAGCTGCTTATCATCCCTTCCCCAATTATTTTTAATTCTTTTTATCACATTTATGGATTCTCATGCCTATTTTAGGTGATAAGGCAGTGAGTGAAAACTTCTCTCCTGAGACCCCACTCACTTCCTCCTGATCTCTCAATAGTGGGAGAAAATTTAATTGTGGATTCTATTAACAGTTCCTATTTCAGATGAGTACAAAGAGCAAGGAAACACAGGAATCTTTATGCAGGTACATTGATTTTAGTGTTTGATTCAGTCTGGATTTAGCCTTTATGTATTTATCTTTATGTATGATTATATCACAGTAGAAGTTCTGGTTAGACTTTTGTGATAATGTTGTAGATTGATCACTTATAGGAATTATATCCAATTTACTTTTTTGAAAGACTCATTTTATCTTTAGTGCCATTAATATATATAGTGACAGTTATCAGTATATAAAGATTAGAAAGCTGTATGTCACCTCTCTTAATAACTAGTTTACATTTGACAACTAGTTTATATTTTATATGATGAAAAATGATACACTCTACTAATCTCCTTGAAGTGAGAGACATATAAAATGTTACAAACCTATTTTATTTAGTAGAAGTATTGAAAATTATTGTCCTTTTCTGTTTTGTCTGTTATACTATACTTAACAAGAAGTGAATCTGGGAGTGAATCTGTGTTTAAGGATTTGGGGGAGGAAATGCAGCTGTGAAAAGTATCAGAGAAAAAGAGAAAAACAATCAGAAACACAAAAGGGAATCATGGTGGATTAAAATATATAAAGAAACGATGGTTCAGAGGAAAAAACAGGTTTAGAAGAGAGAATTTTATGCTCAGAGCTAAAGAATTGCGTATTTGTAAACTCTATGTCTAACAGTTTATGGCAAGTTTATATCCAGAATTCCTTTGAGCTTGATCTCAAATTGAGAACATGTTCTAATCAGACAAGATGTACTGGAGAAATGAACAAGGAGGTCAATTAAGTCTATTCTGCTACACATGTGAAATTCAGTTTCTTCTAAAGGTTTAGGAAAGAAAGAGTCTGCAACTATTGGACACCAGTTAAGTTTTGAGGATTTGAGGTGAATTTTATTAATTCAGGGAATTACAGCCTTTCACTACTTGCTTACATGTTATTTGAGGAATGTTACTGGGGGCAGGTTTATAAGGATTCGTGGGAAAACAGGTTGTTCTTAGAGCCTTGTGAAAGTAAGGTCAACTCTATTGAATGTTCTGGTGTAGAATTTGAAACATTTTCCTGCTTAAAATAATGAGATACAGTGTAACCTTTCTGAAAAATGACAGTAAGATAATTGAGGAAAATCCCTTAAGCCCATCACCATCTGGACCCCATTAATGAAGGATGTGATTCCCCTGGGTGGAATTCTGTTCCTGATTGCTGGTTAAGCAGGCTCTAATTTCAGGCTTCCTGTGAAGGTCGGTAGGGAGGCTGAAAGATTCACTTTACAATTGGATGCAGGGGTAAGAAAAGCAATGATTCCTGGGGAATGTAAACAGAGAGACTAGATTTCTTGAGTGCCCATTGTCTGCTGGTACAATCCATTTAATTGACAGAATAATCCTCTGAGGGAAGGATTAGTATCTTTATTCGACAAATTAGTTTTAGGGAGATTGAGCAAATTGCCCAGTCACACAACTAAAAAGTGGTACTTTAATCTGGCCCCAGGTTTGCATGCTTCTGAAAACCATAATCTTTCCTCCATATAATGCCGCCATTCAAAAAGATGTCAGGTAGAAAGGAACGAAGTACTAAGACATGCTCAAGAGATGAACTTCCAAAAGAGTACATAAAATGAAAGAAGCCAGTCACAAAATACCACATATTATGTGATTCCGTTTAAGTGAAATGCTCAGAGAAAGCAAATCTATAAGAAACAGAAAGTAGATTAGTGGTTGCCCAGGGTGGAACAGAGAGTAAATGCAAATGAGTTTAAGGTATCTTTGGGAGTGATGGAAATGATCCAAATTTGAATTAGGGTGATAGTTGTCAACTGTATGTTTTCTGAAAATTAATGACTTGCACACTTAACAATGAATGAATTTTATGGTATGTAAAGGATACCTCAGTGAGTGTTTTTAAAAAGATGTGATCACTGTTACCATGATCAACACTTGCCTTTCATTGGGTTTATTCTTTTCAACATGTGTAGCCTTTAGTGAAAGGGATATGAGCTACAGAGATGGGACAAAGTAAAGCTTGGCTCTCCATGCATGCATCAAGATGCCTGCCTGATAGTGATCATCTAAGCACCAATTTGTTGCTCTGGGGAGGGATACAGGTGGGGGAAAGGCAGGACTTGAAGGAGTAAATGAATTAAATCATATCTTACCAACACAGACCCCTCCTTTCCTCTCTACCACCTGGTTTGGGGGCCAGAAGAAGAAGATAGGGCGGAGAGTGGACAGGATGAAAAGAAGAGGCAAGATAAATAGGGAGGGAGAGAATTAGAATTAAGCCACACAGGTAGCCCATGGCATTGCAAGAACCCCAGTTTTACCATCCCTAAGGTCTTTGACATTTCACTGTCTCTGAATTTACAATTTATTTTACAATGGATGATGCATCATCATATTGAACAGCAGCATCTTTTCTTTCTTATTGGTACATAAAGCGGTGTTTCTTAAAATGGATGATGTCTAAATTTAATAAAATACAGTTTGGGTTAAAAGTTAAAAAAAAAAAAATTAAGTCACAAATGCTATATTGCTTTTATCCCTGACCAATTGAAATCCTCAAGGAATGGTGACCACAAGAGAAGAAGACTCAGATTGTGGTTCTCACTAGCTGGCCCTGGGTAAGCAGGCCTTCTTCACAGATACAAGGCAAACACTTTCTCAAACTGTATTTAGATCAGCAGACGTTTGGGTACAGCCTTTTCTTTCTTTACTGTACCTTCGCCATGCTGATCTTCTCCTAAGTGTTAAAGCTGAGAGGGTCACGGCTTGGTGTTTCTGTGTATGTGTGAGTGTGTGCACGCATGTATGCACATGTGCACACATCAGGGGTAGCTGGCTTTCTGGGCCCTGTCTCCTTGAACTTCCTTCCAAAAATGACTTCTGAGACACCTTTGAAGAATCCCTAGGGCTCCATGATACAGAGAATACTGAGTTAGGAAAATATCCTCCCTTTATGTTTGCGGAATCTGAGGTTTGGAGGATTTAAAGTGACTTTAGAAGCAACTTGGTCAAGTGTATATGAGGATTTTATAGTCAGGCAGACCTGCGCTGAATACCATATTTGCTGATCTTGATGGAATTACTTAACTCTCTGAATCGCAGTTCCCTCATCTGTAAACTGGTTGTCATGCTCACTCCTGGGTTAGTTGCAAGGACTTAGGGAGCCAGCTGGGTGGTGCCTACCCTGGCAGTGGCACTCTGCCCTTCCCAGGTTGCTCTAAGGCTGCAACCCAGGTCTCCTGCTCCCTGGTCTAGTGTCTGTTCCACCAACCACATCATCTCCTGAGAGTGAAGACAGAAGAGCACGAACTAGGAGGACCACAAGAGACAATTCCTCTGGCAAACCCTCTAGTTGATGCTATGGCTGGTGGGTTGGCGTTAGGAGCCCTTGTCCTATATGCTTCTATGGTGTCTATGTTGCTCTGGGTCTTCACACCATGACCTGCTGTTAGTGGCTGCTGATGAGAGTGAAAGCGAGGTTTGAGCATGCTACTATGAAAGGCAGTATAGCTGTCATAGGAAAGAGCACTGACTCTAAATCAGATTGTGTGATTAGTCACTCAGCCATGTCCGACTGTTTGTGACCCCATGGACTGTAGTCTGCCAGGCTCCTCTGTCCATGGGGATTCTCTAGGCAAGAATACTGGAGTGGATTGCCATGCCCTCCTCCAGGGGATCTTCCCGACCCAGGGATCGAACCCAGATCTCCTGCATTGCAGGCTGATTCTTTACTATCTGAGCCTGGATAAAATCCTTGCTTCGCTACTGACTAGGGATACATGCGAACTGATACGCCAATTGTTTCATAGGGTGGTAAATGGCTGTCTGGTGTGGTGGCTAACTACATAAACTTTGGAGCGAGACTGCCATTGTTCAAATCTCAGCTTTACTACTCACAAATAGTGTGACCTTGGGCAAAGATATTGTCTCTCTGCCTCAATTTCTTAATCAGCAAAATAGGGCTGATGAATAATGGGACCAAATCATACAGTATTCTGAGGATTGAGGAAAGTAACATATATCAAACACTTAGAAGACTGCCTAATATCCAGCAAATGCTAGTATTAAGTTCATATTAGTGTTACTGTAATTATTATTTTTTTTTTTTTATCACAACCATAGTGTATCTTTTTTTTTTTTTTACATGTATTCCCCATCCCGGTCCCCCCTCCCACCTCCCTCTCCACCCAATCCCTCTGGGTCTTCCCAGTGCACCAGGCCCGAGCACTTGTCTCA